GAAGCCTATAAAAATGTCATTACAACTTTACGTAATAATACTGGATTATTTAAAAACGAACTGTCTATCAAGTCGGAAGGCTATTCAGCGAAATGGTTACGACAAAACGTTTTAAATAATTCAGAAGACGTTGTCATGAACCAGATTGGTTTACAGACAACGTTTGTAGGCTGCCTGCATTAAATTTTCATACGATATTGCAGTTACAAAGTTCAATTTCAATAGGACCTTTCCTTGAATTGAATTGGAGTCAACGGACTGCCAGAGTGGCTCGTAACCGGTGAATTGTCAGATAGAATTCCAAGTTAGAAAAGGCGTTTGCATGCTTGGTCAAATGTTAAAGTTTGACTGCACGGTGATATCAAATCGCTGTTCGGATATTTCAAGAATATTGCTGGATCGTGACGGTTTAATCAAACATGTTAAAAACTATTTTTTAACATGTTTTAGTATACCGACTTTTAGAAAGTTAGGTTTTGGTCGTAGCTGCGGTTAAAAACCAACCGCAGAACGAAAAATCCGTTGTTTAAACCAATCCTACATAGCACGTTTCGATCAATATTTGGTTGTTTGAACATTCAATATATAAAGAGTTGCCGTCTTGGGCTCTTATATTTGGCATTTTATCGAGCGCCCAAGTCGACTCGTTACGTCACCAGAGGCCTGACACAAATCTTAGTCGACTCCAAGATTCTAGCACAAATTCTTCTCTTAGCAACATGAATAGAAGATATTCTATGTACTCGAGACCTATCGAACTCTAAATAAAGGTCAAGTCAATACAACGTCTTTCAAGTAAGGCAATTCTCGTTTCCCCTCGGAACAAAACGTCCAGAATGTCGGAAGATACATAAAATAGTTTCCCAGACTCATCAAGGCGGGCCCTAACTTTGGAACATAAAATTCGGGGCCTTTCATGATGGGAGGCAGTAAAGGATTTTTTGCGTTTCACGACGGACTTGACATGGATAGATGGCGCCCAAAATTAAGTGGAAACCTGACTCGAAATTTCAATGCAAAATATAAGATTACCTAGCCTAATTTCGAAGTTGTTGGCGTGAGATGTTTTTTTTAAGCGAAAGTGTTCTGCGAAGCGTATAGACACCTTTGTAAGTTGATATTTCGCACCAAGACATAGGTGGAACGGTGCTGAGTAATGCGTGACCTCATTAACTGCGAGGACGGCATGGGGACCATAAAGTTCCTACTAAATTCCCGTATTAGGGTTCCATCGAGTGGGTGCAGACATTTATTAATTAGGACGCCATGACACCAACCGAGAGGATTGCCGGTTCAGACGTGACCTTTTAATGTAATTAAGCAAATATTGAAGTGTCCTGCGACCATGTGGCACATTTGCGTATCGATATAACCCTTATGTGTAAGGAAAGATAAGCTAATATTCCAAAATCAATTTAGATTCTATTTTCAAAAAATGTGTAAAATTCCGCGATGTTATTAACCTCTAAACGTTTTTCTGTCGCGACACGTCGTCGAGCGGTGCCGCGGTGTGCAGAGCGCCACGTTTTAGTCATAGCATATTTTAGTTGGCGCTAATTACTTTTTGATGAGCAAAGTGTGAGTAACAAGATTACGAGATGCATTAAAAGGACATGACACATACCGCATTTTCCATAAAACGTTCTATTTTTAATAGTTGCCTTCCGTCCGTTAGCATAATGTGCATTGTGTGTCGTATGTAACCAGCTACACCACTTTGTAGCAAGCTTTGAACAAAGGAGACATTACTGCCTCCATTTTCTAAAAGTACGAGTACTTTACCCAATTAAGGCTGTTAGCAGGCGATGTATAATCTTGATGAATTGCTATGCTCATTACCATTAATTTACTTGTAAAATAGATTCGAAATTTCAAAGCCTCCTAATTAATGATGGAACAATGAATAAGATTTTCTTTAGTGTCTCTTTGTAACTTAATTCGGGCGGCTTGTACTGGTTTTTAGTTTATGGATGCGGCTGCAAGCCAGCGTGAAATGTACTCGAGTAAAGATAGAGCCGGACGGACGTTTGGGACCGCTGAGAGTGCTAGTTTACAAAATGCTAATCTCGCCTTGTGTTGTGAGATATTGCGGAATTGTCTCCAGCCGTTTTCACTAGGAAAACTTTAATTTCGGCTGTTTACTTTGGCAGCAGTCGGGTAGCACAGTCGGTTTTAACATCGCTTTCAAACGCTAATTCAACATTAGAGTCGATTGTTACGACGTCTCAATTAAGTCTATTTGTATTTCGAATTACAACACCCATGGTTCCGCGGGTTTTTCGCCGGAAAATGCTTTGTTCCGAATGTAATCAATTAAAAACGGCGCCATCATTTTTTCATTATTTTAAGAGGGCTTATAGTCGAATTTCAACATGGCTGAATTAACGATCGATCACGCTAGCCATTTCGAAAATCAAATATTTCTGCAGCGTCCTTTCTGGGGTCAAACAAGCCATTTGTCGACATTTAACGTGTACTCAGTCTGACCTTTTTCAGTTCAAGGGAACCTTCAGCTTGGCGTTTGACTACCGTTGGGCTAAAGGTTTTGTCAACATCAACTTTAGGTCTTTCAACTTTGACATTGGCATGTAGCTAGTATATTTTTTTCTATAATATTCCTTTGGCAGTGAATCAAAGTATCCGATCTGGTAAAGGGGAGTTGGGTCGGAATAAATGGTCGCTGTCGGTTAGTTGATACGTATCGCGACATTTTCCGAACAATATCGATAAGTCTGCTGCGATAGTGTCGGTATGATGAGAGTCGATGCCAAATACTGGACACTTTGTAATAGATACGGGTTTTATATACTGTGGAATAGACTATTCTGAGTAACTCTGAAACAATGTACAGTAAAAATGCCTCCAGCGTAGTAAAAAACAACACGAAGAGCAAGATTAAAGACAAAGTATTTCTAGAAGGTTTTACAATGATCTCAAACAAGAAATGTTTTAAGAGGTACCTACTAAATGAAATTGCGGGAGAGGAAAGAAATGCGACAGAAGCGGGTTCCTCTTTATCTTCCATTACAAACAAGGAACGTGTGTACGTTATGTAAAAAGAATTCGGAAATTTATAATTTGAGTGTAGAGAGATAAAAGAGCAAGTTCTACGACTAAGACGGTTATGAAGCACGTAGGGCCTCCGTCCCAGGAGATTCACCCCCGTCACCGAACCGATTGCGGTTAGCTTAACAGCGAAGTAACTCAACCTGAGATTGTAGGTAAACTTGTATATTGTTACGGCAAGATTTACGACATTTGCTCCCTTTTGAATTTAACTTTGTTAAGTACGGCGTTGACAAGCTTTCAAACTGGATAATGTTAATTTCAGAACTGACAAAATCCTTTTGTTACAGTGTAAACTAAATCACATTTTTGTGTCTGTTCCTTTTTGCATAGCATAAGTTGCAATGAACACAAATTAATCAAAATTTCCATAGTACACGCTTGATTCAATAGAATGACTATGTTAATCCTATATTTAATAGATATTTTATGGTTGTGTATTTATATCAAAGCGTGAGGAACGGAAGATCGATAGAGGGAGCGAAAAACCCTTCTTAGATTTAAAAGCCACTATAAATACCGAAACTCGTAAACTTTCATCGATAAACCTTGATGCACTATATCTACAGCTATCAATAACAGCGTTCATTTTTCTAAACAACATCAAAAAAATAATGTTGGTATTGGTATAAATATCAATCATTTCGTATATTTAAATCTTTTTGATAACATTAAAACCAGAATAGATGATGATGAAATACGCGAACAAAAGTTAACAGCTAACAATAAAATCCGAAATTAATGTGCCGTTGCTGAATCGAGCAAGAATATATTTTATAGTCAAAAGAAATGTTACTACAGGAGATTAATACTAGCTTAACATTAAAAAAGGGACATTGGACGCTCCTTATTACGGGAGCATTGTCTCCACTATGGACATAGACATTATGTGAATAGTTAATGAAATAACGGCAGTGCCAACGAGTAAAGGTAATGATATAATGCCTAGAGACCTACTTAAACAAGTTATTATCAGCGATTCAGGTATAAGCGACGAAGCTATTAAGGGAACTGTTATCGGAAACATTATCAAGGGTGCAAAGGATAAGAAGCCACTAGCCTCCCCACCTGTTCAAGAAGTTCGGGTAGCTATCGATCTGATAGCGGTTTTGACAACAGTTCAACAAGATTAAATTCGATGTTGGGAACGAAAAAATGAGACATTTACTCGAAGCATTTTCGTTAAGCTCCAATTTCCTAAAACTTTGTTTGGATTAGATTGATGAATCGCCATTATGGACGATGTTGTTCTGTAAAAGCGACAGTTTAAATAAGAAAGACAAAAAGTTGTCATGTTTGACGTTACGACAAAAATGTGATATTTTCGAGACGGAAAAAGAACTAGGCCGTCACGCCTGTCATGTGGACGTCGCGGTTGAATAAATATGTCAGAATTGAATGCGGCACTTCTAAGGACTCCCAATGGGCCGTATCGACAATCAGCTGCTTGAATACTCTAACAATGCATATATAGAGACATTAGTGTCAATATTAATATAATTACGACTACGATGATATGTATATACCTAATTATCGATTTTACAGGTTTTAAATTAGGCGCTAAGAACAGAAGTAAGCGAACAAACCAAATATTTGTAGAATCATATTTCTAACAGAATCGGGAACTTACAGCGGTCTATTTTTGAGGCATTTCTATTTAACTTGCAGCTATGAATCAACTTGTCAAATCATCAAAGGCGAACAATTTCTCGTGTAAGCTTATGAAATTCTGCGGTTTACGTGGTATTTACTAATGAAAGCTACGACTGTGTTTTGTGGTACATATAGGATTTCAGCGGCGTATTTATTTTCTGGTTTGAATACCCGAAGTTATTTCAATTAACCACAATAATTTCTATAGAAAAGGTAAGTGAGACTGTTCCTGTTGGCGTGAATTGTATTAGTAAAGAGAATAATAAAGAATTGGTACGGACCATCTGTGGGCGATGTGTAGAGCTTCTTGCATATTTCTTGCGGACCACCGAGCGCGTTGATCTTGGCCAAACCCTCGGCGCCGCGAGACTCCATCAGCTCGCGAAGCTGCCGTAGGGTGACGCCATATTGCGCCGGCCGCCCCTCCACCGTAGCCATGGTGCCGGGCTCGCGGCCGCCGCCCGCACCACGCCCGACAACCCTCTAGCTCTGCAACAAAAAACATTAAACAATTAACAAAACTCATCATGCCAACAATCTTCAAGGTTAAAATCCTTTTAATTTCAAAGAACCGATTTAAAGTCGATAGACAACAATTTTATAGAACAAAAATAAAATCTGCAATCCCCTGTGGGTGTGGGCAGTAGATTACAAGACTACTACTCCTACGTCGCGTTCCGCCTACGTAGGCACAGTGGGCGGATGCATGGGCACGCACAGTTCATCAGACACAATCGTCCAATGTGTATAGCGAGATTGTTAGTATGCAATCTCTTTGGCAGTAATCTAATAATGTAATTAAGCAAAATGATGTAAGAGATATATAATGTTAATATAGCTACAGTAATGAAAATGGCTAGACCTAGATCAGTAAAAGAGGACGCAGTATACAAAAGCGAGGCTGATCTTAAAAAAGAAAAGCTTCCTCATATATGCAGGATGATTAAAGTCCACGAATTCCAGATAACGCACCTGCGTCATAGGAACCAGTGACGTTCACGAAATAACTGCGAATTGACAATACAAGAATATTTGTAAATAAAATTACATTTTCTGAGAATTCTTCACATTTGTTATCCGAAATTATTTCGCATAGTTTATGATACTATGACTGGCGATATTTCTGAAGCCTGTGACGAATCTGTGCATTTCACACGTGGACTGACGTAGTTGAATGGAGGGTCAGATTCTATTATAGCTAAGGGAATCATCAGAGACTCAAAGTAGTATTTCTGCTATATTCTCATTGTATAAGTAGAAACCTGGGCGCTATTTACGGCGCTATAAAACTTCCCGTCGGGTGCACTTTAGCGTTGAACGGTGCATAATTAAACAAGGGTGGGGGATCTTCGCACCTACTCCGCAGGGCGTGAGCCTCGTCCCACATAATTACTGGTAAAGGTAAAGGATATTGAATATAATTATTTCATCGCAGCTTCGAAGGATTTAGGTGGCCAAGGAAACTTTTGGGGATTAGAGGAAAGTTATTAAACTATCAAAGGTAGATAATATTCTGTTGGGTTGTTAAGTAGTAGATAGGGAGAAACAAAGCTCTTAGATGGTTTACACAAGAAAATTACAACCAAATACTTGTAAATAACATGATTTTCGGGCAGTACTCGGATGAAAAGAGCTGAAGATCGAGCTTAGTGCGTGAAATTGGGGAGTTCTATGTCCAGCACTAGACGGAATTAGGCTGATGATGATGATGATGATGATGAAGCTTAAGGAAAGGGTCTGCATAATCTTAAACCCGAATCAATAATTACAGAGAGTGTCAGCTGCAGCACACACCTGCAGAACCATTACATTGTTTTTACAACGCTATAAAGACATCAGATGGTTTATTGCAGTGTCGTACATTATTTACAAGTAACATGAAGACAGCTCGTGAATTATATAAAAAGATACGCAATGAATGTTATTTTTCTCAGAATTTGTAACACGCGAGTAAACATTTAATTCTGCAGTTTTATGATGACTTAAGTAGGATCAACAGAATTATGACTCGTGTCTGAAATTATACCTGAAGAAATGCCTGCCTTTACGTTTTGATAATAAAATAATTGCGAGCAAACTCAGAAATGAAACAAGAGATTGCGTAAAAATTGATGAAGATGGATATTAAGACAAAAAAGATCTCAATTTCGTTGATGGATTTGTACTTTATAGGTTTCAGTCGGATATTGGAAAGTAGAAGACAAAATATCACACAACAATAAAAAGCAGGAAACACAAAAATATTCGAAGGCAGAATATAATTTTGCTGTCATAATGTAAGCTGATGCTACAAAGTAAACTAAAACACTGAGGGTTGGGGCTTCAACGAGGCGTATTTACCATACTTCAGACATTTTACGACAGGTTCAAGCAGTAGGACTAAGCTTTTAAAATAACAGTACCTACGCATATTACCTACTAGTATTTAGGAACATGGCTGCCGGGCGGGGCTTGCCAAAAAGAGAGGGTTAAGTACACCATAAACCGTACTGAATACACAATAGAGGTGTGCTGGGGGTGGGGGTTCTGCGTATCCTCGTATTTTATACGCAAAACCAACTCGAGTGGAAGTTATGGAAGACGTGTTAAGATGATTGCAAATTATGACGTTGTTTCTATGTAGTTACGTACATAAAGGGGTGAAGCAAAAACAGATTTATGATAAGAACATTACGTTACTGACCAGATCGTTTAAACAGTAATGATATCTAAAATAAAAGACCAGACGGTATCAATCATAAATGGTGATGGATATAATTACTGAAAACGTAACGTCCATTGACCACCCACGCGACGTGCGTTAGCAACAGACACAAAAGCATGTGACGCTACCCATATCGATAACACACCTATTTTTAGTTTAATAATTATTCCTTAATTAACCACAGGCCTACAAAAACAAGGCCAAAATATTCACAAGGGTAAACAAACATGAGTCAACTAATCCACTAACTAATTACACATGTTTTACTAATTACTTGTAGGTACTACTTATAGGTAAGTTCATATTATTATAACTGCCGGGTCCCGGGTAATTAATATGATCTTTACGTTTGATGATCAGGTTTGTTTGCTTCGATTTAGTATCCTGAAGTGCTGTATAACTCAAAATATTAATCTGGACTACCAAGTTTCTAAGCTACCTTTTACTGGTATAAGTTTATGAACAGTGCACTTACAATATTATTAATCACAAAACACTGCACAGTCAACCGCACTATTCACAACGCACACTGTCTAAGTTAGACGTAACTTCTAGGTTTAATCAGACTCCAACTCACAAAACAGATAAACAAAATTCAATTGTTAGTTCGCGTCACTGGCCCAACAATATTTCGAGTATATAGTATTATCCCTCAGTGAGGCAGGCTGCGAGGGAGGGGGTGAGAAGAGCCTGAGAGCCACCCTGCAAAGGCTGCCAACAGCATCCGGGTTGAGTGTCGTTGAACGGCCAGCAATTAGGTCGACATCGCCGTCTCCGACGCGCCTCCAAGACGCCGGGAAATCTTTGAATCTTTGGCTTGTTCAACATGTTTATTGGCTTTTTATTGGTCTATAAATAACTTGTTGGCTTAGCTCTATGCGTTGTGCTTGGTTATGATTTGTTAAGTCTATGCCCGCTGTTATGTCTGCGCATAAAGCCAGAAAATTCCGTTCTGCTTAATAAAATTAACAGGCTAAGTAACTTGGCCTAGATTAATCGTATGCATTTTCCTTGCATTTTATGGTCGGAGACATAAATAATAATGATCCGCACAACTGGCTGAATGCTACCATTTATACATATATTCTATCTAAATAGTTCACGCAATTACATACAGTTGGTTTTGTTTTGTACTGACAATATTTGGCTTTCAATAATTTAGCATCATCTGATCCCAGCGGAATTGCTGACGAATTAATTTCTTTCTATAAATTAATATTAGCGTGGTACTGAATTTCATCAACCGACGGAATAATATATTAATTCGGTATTCCGGTCAATTCGTCCAGCATAATTTATTGATTACGAGTCCACACGGAGTACAAATAGAAATAGTTTCATCTGTTTGTGGTACACAGTGAACGTAGATAGACGTGCAGCTATTTGAACTCGCTTCTAGTTCGCTAAATAACCGGTTTGCCAGTGAAAATAAAATAGATAACAAAATACATACATACACACATTCGATTGTTTGGTACAAAAGCTGAATTTTTGACTGTTCTAAAAAGTAGCGTGTGCAGGTGTGAGAAATAGACATCGAATATATTCGATGAAAAACTATTTTTGGTAACATAAGGATGAATACATGTGTTGCTATAGAGAAGTTCAAAGTTTGAAGACAAAAACATTTGGTACTGATCTGCCTTAACACAGTACTGACCAAGATAAATAAATGTGTTTACGATGATGTTTTTTGTTACTTGTTTTTAGCAGATCCATCATCGGTGTATGGGTAAAATCACAAAGGCCTTTCAAATGTGGAGGATATAAACAGCTAGCCTTTGAGTCTGGTATGGCATACACGTTAATCCAAATGCCATACATACACAGCGATGTTTAGAAAGCAATTAAAAGGGAGCCGACGGACGAGGTTGCCGGCGACAATATACCCAGTACCACTAAGTGGGTCAATCATCGCGTTTCTGAGCAAACTTGGCACAGCGAGGCAAACAATCTTGATTGAAAGTGCCCCTAATCGGTTACACTGAACGGGATAAATCGAACGAGCCTAACCGTTGCCTACTATGGCCAATGATTAATGACTAAACTGATGTGATATATTAGCTGGCGTTCAATTTCGTTATTCGTCAGCGAGACAGTTATTGGTGGTTTACGATGTTCATTCTAGTTCAGTTCACTTTTAGGTCTGTAGTGCATTGTGAACGCTACCTTTATAGTATCATTTCGTTTGGTGGTTCAGACTATCAAAGCGAGAAGAAACAGAAAACACAAGTATTCGCAGCTACCGTCAGTTACATATCATCGAGGGAATATAGGGGTAGTCTTATCAAGTACCACTTAAAATTCGGTTTAACCACGACTGCTAATCTCTTTACATCAAAGAGACGAATCGTGACGCGACTCAAATATTTTCAGATATAAATAACAAAGATGAAACTGACATCTAAAATGTAGGGTATTCTGTAAAATTGTCTCGCAAATTGGAACGTGCACAATACAGAACGCTACTCATGAAAAGTCTTGAAATGTTTCGGACAGACTTATTAAACAACAAACATTGCTTGGTCCGCTTGATTCTTGATAGGATCGTGCAAAAACATCTCTGTTTACTCCCAGTACATTTACATGAAATGAAAATATACAATTCCATGTAACGTAACGTACACACGAGAAAAATAAGCTAGTAATTCACATCATCAAATACTTTTAACTATCAGTCATCGCTTGCAGGCCGTGCTCCATAAAGATCACTGATCCATTGACACGAAACACTGGTCCAGCATCAAAAGAACCGAGTTCTATTTAAACCGTAACAATTCAAATG